TTCAGTCTGGCGCCACCAATGGGCTCGCAGGACTGCTTTATTCGGGTGATTTCACGCTACTCGGTGTTCAGCTTCTTTGTACTTTAACAGTTTTAGTCTACAGTGCCACATTTGGTCTACTGGCCCTTGTTGTAAGTTTTTTTTTTTATGAATTTCCACTGCCCATTCTTCCGTGCACTACTCATGCATATTGATTGACTACGAACGTTTCAGCTAATCAGTAAGAGCCCGCTTGGATTGCGTGTCACTGACTATGAAGAACAGATCGGTGCCGACGTTATCGAACATGGATTGGCTGGAACGAATGTGGCCAGATATGTGCTTGAAAAGCCGCTCAGCACAAGGTCAGCTTTGAAATGTGGAACCAATTTCAGCGTTCACGAAGCTCCACCTCTTTTGTTAGTGACAGTACATGTAGTACCGCCCCTTTTATTTGCGCTAACCTTAAAGGCACCGTGCACAAAAATCACGGAACTCCATATTCACCAAAAAATCAGTACTTTGAGCCCGCTTCTTCACAAAGACAATGGGAAGAAAGAAGAATCAGCGTTCATTTTGATACAAAAAAAGTTAAAATAATCAAGTGGATCATAAGAGATTTGGATTCCCATCGTAGAACTGACACAAATGTTGGAGGTGGGGAGCTTACTCGTATGAACGTGTTAGGTGTGTGGACGTTAACGAGTTTTCTAGACAGTAGACATCCCAAAATCCATGCGATTGCACCCGCCACAACTCCGTTTGATCAGCCCTTTAGGCTCCACCCCTTCTACCGGCAACTGCCCAAGAAATGAATTTTCAGCTGTTTCTCTTCGAAATATTACGTTGTTTTCGCCGATATTTTTTGCATGTTCTTTCATGACCATGCGCAATGCAATTACACAGAGGGAGTGGCACCCGTTTTTTCCGTGCACGATCCCTTTAGGTTCACTATGTTTCGCCCCATTTCTTATGAACATTCATCTCTTTTGGATTATTGTCCAATGAATACACTCTATTACTCTTTATATCAAGGAACGCTACTTTCAGAACATTCCAAACGGTAACGAAGGCGATTACAAAGTGGAAAATGCTGGCTAAAACGAAAAGCCGTTCGAAACGTATGGAGCAAGCGCGACAAAAACGGCTCACCGAGGATCAGGCTTTCACCGCGACCGATAACACAGCAGTCAGTGGAGCTAACGGAGGTACATTAAAGCTGTTCCACATCGTTCATGATTAAAGGGCCCGAGTTCGCGAGAAATCCCTGGATTTTTCAGTTCCTCTCACAGGAAACGGAGCTGTGCATCGCCGGAAAACATCGGTAAGTGTCGCGGAGGTGGCCGCAGCCATGAGTCCACGAGCGAACGGTGTCCGACCTTCTCCGTATGACGTCGACGTCGAAGCACAAGCACACGCACCACAGTCACAGCGTCTCCTTGGGGTAAGACACAATAATGTTTTATTTTGGATCTGCATTGTGCCATCGCAAAATTGCTTTAAGGCAAGAATCAGGATTAAATTGATGGGGTGATTCCACTCAAATGTGAAAGTAGGGATGGGAGGTGGACCGCCAGTGGAGAAAAAAGGAAAGAAAATCCTGAAATACACAGGAAATACGAGCATTTGCTCCATGCTGTGGAGAAGTCAAAAACAGGGTCAACCGTCCGTTGGACAAAGTCCAACGCGACGACGAGAGTAATGCCGAGAGTGAACGTACGCACGGAGACACAGACGGCTCGCGGGTGGCGAGAGTGAATGCCGGCGCGGAGAGCGGGTCAACATCGGTCCAACGTCGCTCCAATATCGGTCCAACGTAACGGTTGACCCTGGTCAAAAGGCCGGCAGGGAGATGAGAGATAATGTGAGCGCGGAGAGTGGTAGAGAAGTCCGAGAAGAGAGAGCATAGCATCATCAACGTGGCGACGCAGACAAGATATCGAACGGTGGGCGGACCATGTTAATGTTTGGTGGAGTCTGTTAGAAGTCCATGGCGCCTAGGGTCCTAGTGACGCGTTTCGATGTAGAAAGGTGGCGCTACCTTTGCACTTGCGTACCCAGCACTTCTAGCCATGGTAAGGGCTTCTTAGGGGTCTGAGATAACTCCGATTTTTGACCTTCAAATCATGCAAGAGAAAGCAGAGACAGATCTTGGCAATGTAGTGAATAAGCACCGTGTTAAAAGACCTTAGATGTTGGTTCAAAGCTCTGCTCGACCGTGTTATGTAAACTTGTTTCATGACTTGCGCCCTTGCGATCTGTGGCGGAAAACAGCCGTTCACAAATCGAATCAAAACAAAAAGTTGCGAGACATCATGACAATTTTCAGATCGGCAAGCCTACGACGTACCAGTGACTCCTCAGCGCTAGAACGACCAGCATCGTCCAGCAAGAGCACAAGAGGGAACTCCCCTCGACGGACTGAGTCTCTCGGGGGTGAACCTAGTTCGCAGCTTTCCCGGGCGTCGACCACCAACGCTGGTTCTGAACCACGGCCTGGTGATCGTCCAGTGACTGCTAGTCATATCGCCATGACCGTCACTCCGTCCAGGTACGATCTACTGCCTTTTGCCTTGATTTTCTTGGGCGTTTCTCGGCTTAGAACAAAAGTAGGGCGGTTGTTCCACTTCTGCTCTTCAAAACCTGATTTTTAGGCCCAACCCTGTTGGAAAATTCGTTCGATCGCCGCTAGCTCGTGCTCTCACACCACCCGAAGACATTAGCCTCGACAGCGAAGAAGAGACGTCGGGATCGTCAGGACCATTGAGCAGAAATAACAAAGTCGCTCCTCAGTAAAAAGCACTCTGGATGTGAGTCAGGGCAGACAAATGCGACAACGCGTCGCGACCGCGCGCGCCACAGCAATCCTTATGTCCTGACCCACACCTATGCTCTCCCATAGTGAGCTGAGTCGACTATGACTATGTGATGTGCACATTTGTCAGTACGGGTTCCATATTCGCTATAAGTGCCTTTCAATAGAATTTTAAAGTTCCCATTTTGGACTTCCTTCTAAGCATAGAGATGCAGCTCGTTATACGTTGTTGACATTGTCAGTGAACGGGATCATTGTGTTGTTTTCTTTGTCGGTCATTCTCTGCTGATAATGACGCTAATTCAGAATACTATGGTTAAATATTTGGCAGGTTATTTATTTGAATAAAGCTTCATTCTATCTTCTATTCTTCTTGAAAATTGCATATGAGTCTTCCTACAAAAAGCACTGTGTGTTTGAGTCAACGAATTCGCTACTAGCGATTCGCGCGATTCGCTAGCGTCCGCGGTCGCGTTGCGGTACCAGCCAATTGAGTGATTCACTGGCCGCGACGCGACCGCAGACGCTAGCGAATCGCGCGATTCGCAAAGTCTGACATCGGCCCAATGAGGCAGTGAGTGTGACAGCTGAAAGGCTGTCACCCTCACTGCGTGATGACGTCACCGGGACGTCATTGGTGGATCGGAACCCTGAGCGCAGTGGTGATGGGGTCCAAACCATCCCTGAGCCTTCCTATCAATCACGTTGGATGACGTCACGAGAACCGCCCCGCCCTTTGGCGATCATGCTCACTATTTAAGACCCTGCTGACGAAATTGTTGACCTCTAGGAAATCCATGAGTTGCTTCAAGAGACCTCATCCACCCCTTTTCACGGATGTCCAGAAACCACAGCTTCATTTTGATTCAAAATGAGCCGTGGTTTCTCTCCCTGCCGTAAATGATCACGGGAAATTCAAGTGACAAGAGCCAGTAATATTGCCCTAACAATGGAGAAAATAGAAGGTCATATAAAAGGAAAAATGGCAACGGGCATCAAGGGCAAGAAACGGCTGATAGCGAAGGTGAAAGAACAGCTGGTCGAAGCCGAAAAAAACCGTCTGCGATAGCCGCAAGCTGTAAACTCAGACGAGAAGGACGCATGTCCTATTCCGCGATCTTTTTTCAGAGCATCTCCGTCGTAAAGTGGGGCAGGACCAAGGCGCCATGCAGCTAATCTCGTATCCAAAGAACATTCGGAACCTCAGTCTCGGAAGTCCAGACAAGCCTTTCGCCGGGCTCCTACAGAGCAGAATGCTAAGCAGTGGAAGGGAAAACTCGAATCTAATTTGAAGAACTCCACAGTTCTCACCTGTAGAGCAGGCTCAGTTTTTATCTCCCTTAAATCAAAAGTTGCACTACTTCTCTCCTGCTTTTATGCACTTTAAACGCCTTGCGAAGAAAGAACTGTTGAGTTTTACTTAGTGTATGATGATTTAGTATAGCACATTGTTGTTTTCTTTTCCCACGTCTACCTTATGTAGCGTATGAATAAATAAACCAAATAAATAAATAAATAAATTTCGATCGACGTGAGTGGTGGGCTAGAGACAATCTTTTTGCCTCCCGAACAACGGAGCGAGAATGCCACTAAACTAGTCGCCAGAAGCTACCTGTGACTGACTAAGGTGAGGGAAGGACATCAAGACGTCTGTACTTTGGCAACCTCAACAGCAAGGTCTTTATCTTGCAGTGCCTTCTCAAAAGGGGACATGGAAACGAACGGGAATAAATTGTTTTCCAAATATTTCAGCTATTGATTGGGCTTTTGTTGGCACTTTCATAATGCATCATTCTTTGAAAACTTGCACTTGTATATTGACATTGCACTTGCATATTGATCTAGTTATAGGTCTAGTTACTAGAAAAGTATTGACATAAATTATCGAAATATATTCAAGAAATGGTGCAGTCGCCCACTTACGCAAGATATCCCCACTTTTTTCCTCCCCTAACTGTCCAGCAACTTTCATTCAATATTAAGAGGGGCATGGTCAGCAGTATCCTTCATTTCACGTTACACCTACGAATATAGCAAATCGATCAGCAGCGAGTGTAACGGTCATTATGGTAGTTGTACTTTCGTTCATTTCAACGTCACTTCGAGTACTTATCAATGACAGCTGATGGCTAGACTCATTCACTGAACGATTGATCGGAGAACGCTAAAGAACGACGCAGGCAGGTCGCACGTTGACCACGAAACGAGTTCTCGTGATCAGAGTAACAAATTTCACTGCTGTTGGTTAGAACTGGGCCATTTCCTCTCGGAGGAGCACCACCTGCCTCTGTGTGTTCCGTCTCTGCCATTATTATTCCGTCCAATTTCGTTTGAACCCTCACAGATTTTGTGGCTATTGATTGCTTTCACTGAGCTGCTTCCATCTCGAAAGCTCTGCCTGGTACCTATTCTTGTAGTAAACTCATCCTAGTGGACAAGGAAGGACGAGTTTCCACGCTTTGAACACGGGTTATTTTCCAGGCTTAGCTCCTTTTCTTAGGTTCTTTTAAACCAGTTTTGCATTTTCTTCTCTTACATTCTTGGTCTGCTCCTTCTTAGACTGCGGTACTAAACAGGACCGAGGCTCATGGGCGCAGGAAGATTTTTGAAGGGCAAGATG